CTGTATCCTGTATTCTCTCTGTATCCTGTATCCTGTAGCTTTTATTCTCTCTGTATCCTGTATCCTGTATCCTATCTTAACCTACCCTGTATCCATATATTAAAGTAGATACCCTGACAGGCTGACACTGTATCCATGTATACCCTGTATATCCAGTATCCCTGTATCCATTGAATACCCTGTATCCATGTAAACCCTGTATTATCTAAGTATACTTTGTATCGATGTATACTATGTATCCATGTATACTCTGTATCCATGTATACCCTGCATACCCAGTATCCCTGTATCTAAGTATACTCTGTATCCATGCATACTCTGTATCTTTGTATACTCTGTATCCATGTTTACTCTGTATCCCTGCATACCCTGTATCCATGTAAACCCTTTATTTATGTATACCCTGTATCCCTGTAAACATGTATACTCTGTATCCATGTATCCCTGTGTCCATTTATCATTTTATCCCTATATCTATGTAAACCCTGTATCCATGTATACCCTGTATCCCTGCAAACATGTATACTCTGTATCCTTTTGTCCAAGTATCCTTTTATCCCTGTACCCATGTAAACCCTGTATCCATGTATACGTTGTATCTCTGTAACCATGCATACCCTGCATCCATTTATACCACCTATGCATCCCTGTGTCCATGACTCTTTTTACCCCTTCATCACTGTATCCCTGTATCTATGTATACCCTGTATCCATGTATCCATTTATACCCTTTATTGCTGTATCCATGTATCCATATATACCCTGTATCCCTGTAACCTTGTATCCATGTATACCGTGTATCCATGTATCCATATATACCCTGTATCCCTGTATCCTTGTATCCTTGTATCCCTGTATCCCTGTATCCCTGTATCCCTGTATCCCTGTATCTATGTATACCCTGTATCCCATGTATCCATATATACCCTGTATCTCTGTATCCATGAATACCCTGTATCCATGTATTCATGTATACCCTGTATCCCTGTATCCATGTATCCCTGTATCCTTGTATCCCTGTATCCCTGTATCCCTGTATCCCTGTATCTTTGTATACCCTGTATCCATGTATCCATATATACCCTGTATCTCTGTATCCATGTATACCCTGTATCCATGTATCCATGTATACCCTGTATCCCTGTATCCATGTATCCATGTATCCCTGTATCCTTGAATCCCTTTATCCCTGTACCATTGTATCCCTGTATCCCTGTATCCATGTATCCATGTATCCATGTATTGTATACCCAAGAACGGCACCAAAAATGCTTAATCATGATATTCTCCGCTGAGAAGAATTTTATGGAAAAATTTGTAAACACAGAATTCCTGAATATCTTGTTGATATCGTGTATAAAGCTTTATTGGCTCATATCTTCCGCCCTCCATTAGCGGGGCTTTGAATTGGTATCTACCCATCTATCCATCTATCTACATGTGCAACTATCTATCTATTCACTTGACCTGTCTATCTATCTAACTACCTATTTTCTAAGATTTGACATGTTTACACTATTAGATATGCCCACGTCATCTTTACACTATCATAATCTTACAAGTTTCTAAATATAGGGATGTACATTGTGCATCAACTTTTATACATCTAGGTAATTTATTTTGCATAAAATGCTGCGGTGTCAATTTGCACAATTGCACTGCATGCGTTCAGTTTTGTATTTGTAATCTTATGAAGAAGAAAAAACAATTTAGCCAACTTCAAAATGGCAAACTCAAATATGAAGTTTGACAGTATTTTCAAAATAGAAAACTCCCATACTTCAGTACGTTCCCGAAAATTTGAGAAAATTTACATTTTAAAAATCGAAAATTTGAAAAAATGAATATGTTTGAAAAAAGCGTATTTGAAAAATGTATAATTGGGAAAATGTCTATCAAGGTAACATTCATAATCTGTAATATTTGGTTCTTAATAAACATAATTATTGAGTTAGAAATCTTTAAAAGTAAAACTAAACCAAAACGTGCCAACACCTACAGACTATATAATACATATGTTGTTAAATAGTAGTTTAAATCCAGTAATACCGAGTATATTAATCCTATGAATGGACCTGTCCAGGCCACTATTCAAGTTTTTTACAAATCATTTTAGCAAATTTCACAAAATTCAAGAAAAGATTAATTTGAATAAAAAATCTCCCGTGGCCTGTCGATTAGGACAAAACCATTTTTTAAAAAAAAGTGTGTATAATTCCACGTTTAAAGTTGAAAAGTAAACTCTTCTATTTAAGAAGGATTGAATAATGTGAACGAAAACCCATTTTCACCATTGACACATGTTAAATTCAAGCAAAAGTACCCGGCGTTGCCCGCGAAATCTCAAAAGTATTCAAAAGAAAAAGTTACTCTGATGGTTATATCTGAGAACTGAGAACTGAGAACGCTTTGCTTTACATCTATATATCTATATATCTATATATCTATATATCTATATATAGATATAAAGTTGTAATCTCTATTTGTCTGTCTATCTGTTTGCTTGTCCGCTCATAACTCAGGAACCCCTGGACCGATTTTCTTTAAATTTTAACTGGGGAACTCGGGAGAGCCACGGGAATGTTCTGATAGCTTGGTTTTGAGACTCTTAATTGAGAGGGTTGACTTCAATAGCGAAAATTTATTTTCCTGGTAAAATCATCCAAGTGCGGGTAAACGGCGAAAGTAACTTTTTGTAACCTTGGCAGCGCTGGGTTCCCAAGCTAGTATATAAAAGGTAGTAACCTCTGCTTGTTTATTTGCCTGTTTGGATGTTCATTCGATCATAGCTTCCAAGTTGACTGGGTATACTTTTATAGAGAAAACTGCAGACAAAGCTGAGTCTCCAAGGTAGTATCACATAATATTTAATCTTTCATTTTTTAAGAATATAAACCTATTGGGCCCATTTTTGTGTTTCTTAAATGGGAAGGGTTCATGGCCGCCGGTCAAACTTCTATAATTTTCCAACAAGCTCGATTTATAGCAAAAAGTAAAGGAACTGAGAATTTAGAATAAAATGATTCTAATCCTTGATAAACATTCTGTGTAAACACTGGAGACAGAAAGGATTGAAAAGAAATCTTGTGACGAGTTTAGAAACAAGTTTGGACAAAAGTTCTCCAACCTAACATAATACAATTTTAGTAAAATAACCAGAGATATCTCTAGATATGGTTCAGGAAGGTTTAGTTATTTCTCCGGGAGTAAAATAACCAGAGATATCTCTAGATATGGTTAAGGAAGGTTTAGTTATCTCTCCGGGAGTAAAATAATCAGAGATATCTCTAGATATGGTTATGGAAGGTTTAGTTATTTCTCCGGGAGTAAAATAATCAGAGATATCTCTAGGTATGGTTATGGAAGGTTTAGTTATTTCTCCGGGAGTAAAATAATCAGAGATATCTCTAGATATGGTTATGGAAGGTTTAGTTATTTCTCCAGGAGTAAAATAACCAAAGATATCTCTAGACATGGTTAAGAAGATTAAGTTACTTCTCCGGGAGTAAAATAACCAGAGATATCCCTAGGTATGGTTCAGGAAGGTTTAGTTATTTCTTTGGGAGTAAAAGAAACACAGGCATCTCAAGGAAGGTTCAGGAAGGTTTAGTTATCTCTCCAGGAGTAAAAGGAACAGAAGATAAGGTTCAGTTAGGTTTTGTTACTTCTCCGGGAGTTAAAAAAAAACAGAAATATCTCAAGGTATGGTTCAGGAAGGTTTAGTTATCTCTACGGCAGTAAAAGAACCAGAAATATCTCAAGGTATAGTTCAGGAAGGTTTAGTTATCTCTACGGCAGTGAAAGAAACAGAAACATCTCAAGATAAGGTTCAGGAAGGTTTTGTTACTTATCCGGGAGTAAAAAACCAGCGAAATCTCTAGATTCGGGTTAAAAAGGTTTAGTTAAATTTCTAAATTTCTCCGGGGGTAAAAGAACCTAGCTAAATATTACTCTATTCATATTCAAATTTTCTAATCCATATATCTTTACAACCTAAAGTCGTGGACCTTTGATATTTTTTTCAATATTTGAATTCTGCTAAGTTTAACACTAGACGGTGGCAAAGATTTATACTGTGCCCTTTCTTTTAGATTCGGACATTTCTTACAGGAACTGTAAACAGTAGATGCAATCTTAAAGGGACTGTAAAGGAAAAATGAAAGGGGGTATAGGCTGAAAGCTAATCACTTTAGCTCTTGATCTCGACCCATGAAAATCATATCTGATGTTCATGTCTCGAGAAATTGATATAAAACTGTGTCAAATCTATACGAAAATTAATATATATACAATTTTGTATAAAAGTAGTTATAATGAGATAGATAGAAAGATAGATGTTACCGCCATACTATTTCTATTGGTTCAGAATAAACAACAAACACATGTCTGAACCCTGATTGGATCCGGCGCTAATGGACTCGGCATACAGGAGTGGATTGAAGGATTCATAACTCTAATTGGATAATGAGATAGATAGAAAGATAGATGTTACCGCCATACTATTTCTATTGGTTCAGAATAGGCAACAAACACATGTCTGAACCCTGATTGGATCAGGCGCTAATGGACTCGGCATACAGGAGTGGATTGAAGGATTCATATCTCTAATTGGATAATAAGATAGATAGAAAGATAGATGTTACCGCCATACTATTTCTATTAGTTCAGAATAGACAACAAACAGATGACTAAACCCAGATTGGATCAGGCGCTAATGGAATCGGCATACAGGAGTGAAGTATAGAGTAGACACAAAGGAACTCAGTTCTTGCCACAAACTCTAATTTTCTAATTCCTATATCTTTGCAACCCAATGTTGTAGACCATATCTAAGTTTAGATTATCAAAGCTTTACACTTTCATATTGCAAAGATATAGGGATTAGAAAGTTTAAGTTTGTTGTAAAACTCAATATCTTCCAACAATTAAAGGTATAATAATTGAATATAAATATTTATTTATTAAAACTCAATATCTTCCAACAATTAAAGGTATAATAATTGAATTTAAATATTTATTTATTAAAATTCTACAATTTGTCAAATAAAATTATTATCACGTTGAAACATCAAGAACAGAACCTCTCATTTTATTCTCCTTTGAAGAGATACAAACGAGGTTTCTTATCTTCTTTCTGGAGCAAGGAATCTATCCCAAAACTGAAACTTCTCTTCAAGGTTTCGGAGCTCTGGGTTTTACTCGGAGCAGGGGGTGGAGATGGATCTCTGGTCGGAGAACATGGGATCACATATGAGGTATAGGAGGAGGAGGAGGAGGAGGGTTCCATCTTGATAAATCCAGAGTCTACCTTGAAACTGTCATCGGAGTCGAACCTGTCGGAGGTATCCAGGACGGGAGAAGAGGGAGGAGTATCCTCTTCATCCAAACCCACGTTCATACCCAGATACTTCCGAACCCGTCTCTGAGCCTTTCTTCGGCTGAAATCTCCTTTCTGGAAATCTTGTTGACACGCAGGATGGACTGCCCAGTAATGTCCTTTACCATTAGATGCTCTCCCAGCCTTGATAAAACAATCATTTAAAGATAGATTGTGTCGGATTGAGTTTCTCCAACCAGGTCCTCTGTGTCGGAAATATGGAAAGTTATCAAGAATATATTGATAAATATCTGCAAGCACTAGTTTCTTCTCCACAGAGCTTAGAATAGACATAGCTATAAGTCCTATGTAGGAGTGCTGGGGTTTAGGTTCTTCAGGGAATGGTATTCTAAAGAGGCGTGGATCAAGTTTAGCCATAGGAAACATGGCAAGATCAGGAGGAGGAGCAAACCTAGGTATCATAGGAGGTGTTAGAAGAGGAGGGAAGGGAGAGAAGGGTTGGAGAAGTCTCATCCTATCTGCAAAAGCCAGGGTGTAAAGATGCTGAAGTCTCACGGTGTCCTGAGAGCTAGAGACTGGAGCTTGCAAGGATGGAGCAGGAGAAGTTCTGTGCTCCATATTGAACCAGTGTTTGAACCAAACTACTCGTTTACCAACAGTTTCTAACATTTTCAAGCAAGCGGTGACCAACCAAAGGAAAACAATACTCTGATTGGTCGAGAGCAGCGCCCCCGCAACCCCCCGCCAACCAATCAGAGCCTTGCATTTGTTGTTCTGTAGTTATACCAAACATTTGGCGGCGATGTGTCTGGTTTTTCAGGCTTCTTGAATTTTCAAAATCATCCTCTCTCTCAAGTTTAACAATGGCTGTATTGATCTTGCTTAAAATCCTATTTTTATCGTCTTTATACGAGGCTTGTAAAAACCCCATTAGTAGATAGAAAAAACAAGTGCTTAACCCTGAAAACGATTATTCTTTTTAAACAACATACATTCTTTTTATACTTAAGATGTCATCAACATTGAAATTTTCGTTAATCATTGCTTGTATATATCTAACACGAAAAAGAATCCTAAAAGGATTGAAAAACCACAAATTTATTAAAATGTTATACAAAAACACTAAATGAAACCCGACGAGGTGAAAAAAAACAATTATTGGACAAATTGAAAGATTTTTAATTATTCAAAGTTGACTGAATACAGTTAACTAACATATTCAATCATTCAAATTTCATTGACAAATATACAGAACTAGAATTTCTTGACGGTATAGACCTGAAAGGGACTGTATGTGACGGTATAGACCTGAAAGGGACTGTATGTGACGGTATAGACCTGAAAGGGACTGCATGTGACGGTATAGACCTGAAAGGGACTGCATGTGACGGTATAGACCTGAAAGGGACTGTATGTGACGGTAAAGACCTGAAAGGGACTGTATGTGACGGTATAGACCTGAAAGGGACTGTATGTGACGGTATAGACCTGAAACTACAATATATCTAGGGTTAACTACAATATATCTATAAATATATATTATATATAACCTCGATCCTAATCAGATTATACAGAAAGCAGATGTATTGTAAATATATTTACTTTTAGATAAATATATTTATACAGGGAGATGTATACTTACACAAGTTATTCTTAATTATTTAATCTGCTTCAGAAAAATGCATGTTTAAAATTGTTTATCAATAGATTTTTTTAATAATGAAAAAAAGGAAGAAATTTTGGTAATGCAAATTATTTAAATAATTTATTTCAATAAGTCTTTTAGTTCATTAGTGTCGCTTATAAATCATTATTTTTAAATTAAGCCTCTAATTTATGGTCTAAGTGAGACAGTAAAAAGTTTTAACTATTTTTAATTAAAGTTAGAAAAACTTATTTTTTCCAAAAAACAGTAATTTCTAAAGTATCTAATGAATTTCATATTTTTTAGATGAAAATTTGTTTCAATTTTAAATATATGTGGGCTAGTTTGTAAATTTTGAGATTAAAAATTATTGGGGGGGGAAGAGAGAGTTCAATTGAAGAATTCAATATTTGTCAAAATTTTGTTCAATTGTTCGAAAGAATGGATATTTCTAACCAACCAACTGTGGAAAATATGAAAATTGACAGAAAAGAAATTCTATTTACTCGACGCCATTAAAACATTCTTATCTTTTCCCTGCCTGTCTAAACCTGAATTTTTAAATTAGAATATTTTAGACACGCACCTTGTTGCACCGGCTAGTCCTATGGAGTGTCAGTTTTATTTACCCAATGTCCGGGCGATACAGTACAAACTGGGACCGGAAAGGTTGACCCGGCTCAAATGTACTACGGCTGCCCGTTTAGAATATTCTTTGACAGAAAAAAACTTTCTTATAGAAGAGAAAAAGATCCAGGTTTTCATGAATTAAATCATTAACATGATTAAATTCATGAAAATATATGCTACTGATAAATGAGAACATGCACCTCTGGAAATCACCCACTCTCCGACTTAGAACTGTACTTTAGTCTTCTTTTATTCTTATAATATTGCACCATTTAACTTTGTGTACGAAATAAATCTATAATAATAAAAATATGGATAGATAGATAGATACATAAAAGATAGAAAAATAGGTAGATAGATATTGATAGGTGTCACATTCCTGCCATATCTTCCTAGACTATAGGCCCCCTGGAGAACAGGACTAAACATCTAACATGGAGTAGAAAAAACCAGAAAAACAAGAGATTAGAGATATTAGAGATATTCTAGTCCTATATAATCCCAGATATACAATCCGTCCTAACATTTATACAAACAACTTAGAAGTATTAGACTTATTTCACACCCTTACCCCCCCCCCCTCCCACCCCCGTAAAAAACTATAAGATAATATGTATAATCTAACTTTTCTTTTGGAAACAAAAAATAATTTTTCATTTAGAAGAATTTTTCACAAATATATAATATAATTTAAGAAAGAGATTTTAAAAATAAATTTAATAGTTACACATTATTAATGCTTCTAAAATTAACAATTTACAATTTACAATTTACACGTCTTTTTTTAAATCTTGCAATTTACAACTGAAAAATCATACATATACTTAAATATTTTTAACTCATTTACATCTACAATTACATTATTTTTTTATACATTTTACAATTTACTGATAAATATCAATTTACAGATAGGCTGTTTTTTTACAAATGGCAAAGGAACATTAGACTGATCTCATACTGAGCCTCTAATGATTATGTTTTATAAAATGTGTTTGCCAAATAAACTTTTGGAAACATGGCCGGTTAATCATAAAAATGTAAAAATTAAAAATAAAAAATAAAAACATTTATTGCATGAAAACGGAGGATTTAAAATTATTAAAAAAAATTTGATCAAGAGTACAAGGTAAACTGGTTTTTTTTCACCCTAAATCGCGCAATTTTTCATTTTTTTAATGTTTGAATTGATTTGAACTCTGAAATTCAATGTTATTTACATAAATAACCTTCTAAAGATTTTCATTTCACTGTTTCTATGGATTTTTTATATTATTGACCCCCATTTTCTGCCAAACTTTTAGTTTTGTGAAAAATATATTTTTTCAACATGCATTAGAATTCTTGGAATACAAATTTGCATTCATGAAAATAATTTGAGATAATTCCTCACAAAGATATCTTCGCTCATATATATATTTATATGTCAGCTATAGCCGGCCAAACGGCTTGACCAAATTGGCTGAATTTTTTTAGGGAACCCATGGCCCATTGGTACGTCGAGGGGTTAACAAAGGCTATAAAAATCTAAAATCAAATTTTTTTATCAAATGTAGATTGGTCGTTTTCTTCAATTAAAAACTGTTGAAAATTTATAAAATTTCACTGGCAACGCCGGGTACCTCAGCTAGTAGTATATAAGGTCACACAACACTATCCTGTATCCAAAAAGTAAAAATTGTGATATTCCAAGTTTTTTTTCGGGGCAGGATGTATCTTTTCTTACTTTTGTAATTCTGTTTCGGTTGTTAGGGTTTAAGGAGACTAAAGGCAGTATTCCTTTAGATTAAAAAAAAACTTTTATACATTTTTATTTCTCTTCAAAATAATCTAGTCTAACATATTACTTTTTAAAAGCAAACCAAACAAAATGAGATTTTTATGCGAAAGTGATAATAAAAGATTAGTATTTGCCAAATTTACAGTTTTGATTATATTTGCGGGTTTCTCCGTGTTTTGAGATTTACAACAATAGAATTTGGTTGTATTCCTTTTTAAGGTGAAAGAGAGGAATTATGTTTTATTCTTCTCTCTATGTATCCTCTCAACAAACCCTGAACAATCCATCATCTTACAATCTTAGATAATCTGGCATTCCGCGCACACTTAACGCGCGCACAGTGGGTTAACCAACCCGGATACGTCTTTACTCCGGGTGCTTTGTTTAGCTGGTCAGCTAACCTAATCTACCATTATGTGTGAACACAGTGGATTATCTTGTATTGAAACATTAAATATTTACTGTAAACAATTTTACTAAATAGAATAAATATAGAACTAAAGAAAGGGATTACTTATTTTTCTGTTTTCCTTCTATCTTCTCAGTATTCATTGATGTTTCATTGTAAGGGATGTAACTGAACTGAACCTTCATCACCTGAAACTGAACCTTCATCACCTGAAACTGAACCTTCATCACCTGAAACTGACCCTTCATCACCTGAAACTGAAACCAGATTTAAACCCTCCTGAAACCACGTATAACCCCCTGGAACCAACTAAACCCTCTGAAACCAAGTAAAAACCTGCCGAAACCAACTCTAGTCCCCTCAATAATAAAAACAACCATAAAACTAAGTTAATACCCCTGAAAATAAGTTAAAACCCCTTAAACTAAGTTTATACCCCCTGAATATAAGTATAACCACGTAAAACCAAGTATAACGCTCTGAAACCAACCCTAGACCACTTTTTTACAAAGTAAAAATTCCCTGAAACTAAATATAACCCCCTGAAACTAAGTATAACCCCTGAAACTAAGTATAAACTCTGAAACTAAGTATAAACCCCTGAAACCAAGTATAAACCTCTGAAACTAAGTATAAACCCCTACACTAAGTACAAACCCCTGAAACCAAGTATAAACCCCTGAAACTAAGTATAAACCCTGAAAATAAGTATAAACTCTGAAACTAGGTATAAACCCTGAAACCAAGTATAAACCCTGAAACTAAATATAACCCCTGAAACCAAGTAAAAACCTCCAACCAAAATTGTGTGACTGTGAATCCTAAAATCCTATTTGGTTTCTAAGGATTAATATTCAGCAGAAAATATTTTCAATCTGGCGAGCTAGTTGATCATGCAACCTTTACTCCAGTAGCACAACAAACCAGGAGATTATAAGAGGGTTAACCAGCTCTAGGAGGAGGGGGGGGGGGGGCTCAGGGTTCGGTTATTAAGAAGGGGTTTAGACTTTTAGTATACTCATGAGCTGATTAGATTAAAGTTTAGGAAAACCAAGGTTTAATAATTAGGAAACCCAGGGTTTAATAGTTTAGGAAACCGAGGGTTTAATAGTTTAGGAAACCTAGGGTTTAATAGTTTAGGAAACCTAGGGTTTAATAGTTTAGGAAACCCAGGGTTTAATAATTTAGGAAACTCAGGTTTTAATAGTTTAGGAAACCCGTGGTTTATAAGTTTAGGAAACTCAGGGTTTAATAGTTTAGGAAACCCAGGGTTTAATAGTTTAGGAAACCCAGGGTTTAATAGTTTAGGAAACTCAGGGTTTAATAGTTTAGGAAACTCAGAGTTTAATAGTTTAGGAAACCCAGGGTTTAATAGTTTAGGAAACTCAGGGTTTAATAGTTTAGGAAACTCATGTTTTAATAGTTTAGGAAACTCAGGATGTAATAGTTTAGGAAACCCATGGTTTAATAGTTTAGGAAACTCAGGGTTTAATAGTTTAGAAAACCAAAGGTTTAGTAGTTTAGGAAACTCAGGGTTTAAAAGTTTAAGAAACTCAGGGTTTAATAGTTTAGGAAACCCAGGGTTTCATAGTTTAGGAAACTCTGGGTTTAATAGTTTAGGAAACCGAGGGTTAAATAGTTAAAGAAACCCAGGGTTTAAAAATTTAGGAAACCCAGGTTTTAATAGTTTAGGAAACTCAGGGTTTAATAGTTTAGGAAACTCAGGGTTTAATAATTTAGGAAACCTAGAGTTTAATAGTTTAGGAAACTCAGGGTTTGTTTAGGAAACCCAGGGTTGAAGTGTTTTGGAAACTTAGGGTTTAATAGTTTAGGAAACCCAGGGTTTAATAATTTGGAAACCCAGGGTTTAATAATTTGGAAACCCAGGGTTTAATAGTTTAGGAAACCCAGGGTTTAATAATTTGGAAACCCAGGGTTTAATAATTTAGGAAACCCAGGGTTCAATAGTTTAAGAAACCCAGGGTTTTATAGTTTAGAAAACCCAGGGTTTAATAGTTTAGAACATCAGTAGAAACAAGTTACATTTTTTATGAAATGGGAAAAAATGGTTTCATAAATATTTTAAAGCTAGAAATTATAAAGAAAGAAGGATGCAGAGGATCGGCATCCTTTTAACTATGGTTTATAAATCTCCAGAAAATCTTGCAGAGTAACTACTCTCGGTTTAATTTTGAACCTGGAGTATTTTAATCTTGTACAAAAGTTATTTTTGAGAACTTTGTGACGGTATAGACCTGAAAGGGACTGTATGTGACGGTATAGACCTGAAAGGGACTGTATGTGACGGTAAAGACCTGAAAGGGACTGTATGTGACGGTATAGACCTGAAAGGGGCTGTATGTGACGGCATAGACCTGAAAGGGACTGCATGTGACGGTATAGACCTGAAAGGGACTGCATGTGACAGTGTAGACCTGAAAGGGACTGTATGTGACGGTATAGACCTGAAAGGGACTGTTTGTGACGGTATAGACCTGAAAGGGACTGTATGTGACGGTATATTATAGACCTGAAAGGGGCTGTATGTGACGGTATAGACCTGAAAGGGGCTGTATGTGACGGTATAGACCTGAAAGGGGCTGTATGCGTAATTAAAAAAGACCCTCCAGGCAAAGACAAGGAAATGCCTGACTTAAAACGATTCCCTTAAAGTCTGATCAAGTATGACTAAGATATCCTTGGTTTAATTTCTTTTAACTGTTTATTTTTATTTGCAGATTCTCTGCGAAAGCAACTTACGCATTTTTTGCTTGCAAGAAGCAAGGGAGAATCTCGGAGAAATAAACACTTTTCCATTATTTTATTATTTATTATTTATTATTTTATTATTTTTTTATCAGATAATCTTCCGTCTTACGGCTCCTGACCTGGTATCCGTCCCACTCTATAGTTTATTTACAAGTAAGCCTCTCTCCATGCTTGTACTATACAGCAGGAGAAGAAGATTGAACATCTGCGTTATTACTTGTACAACTTTTTGAACTCATAGCTCCTTCGGGTTTGATTGTTCGCAACATTATTTGTTTACACATTAGAAATTCAAACAATCTTCTTTTTAAAAGCTCTTTAATACAAAGAGTTCTAATTGTAAACATATAAAATTTAATTCTATAATTTGACGTCAAGCTTAAATTTTCTAATCCTTATATTTTTGCAATTTAGTTTCTTAGTTTTAAATATTTAATGTGTACGACATCGGGTTGCAAAGATATAGGGATTGAAAAGATTAGAGTTTGTGACAATAAAACAATTGCTTAGCATGAAAGTTTAAAATCTTTAAAAACTTGTTTCAATGGCCTTCAGTCCGATCTCTTATAGGTGGTGTACAAAAGAAATAAGTACAGATTTAATTCTGTTTTTGATTAAAGATTATAGATATATATAATTATATTATATACCAACTCAACTGCCTGAATTATATGTATTTTATGTTAATAAATCTCCTATGCTATAGAGGTATATATATGCCCGAAGTTCTGCCTGAATTATATGGATTTTATGTTTATATACTCCTATGGTATAGAGGTTTATAAAGTACGACCTGAATTATATGTATTTTATGTTTAAAATGTCTTATGGTATAGAGGTTTATAAAGTACTACGTGAATTATATGGATTTTATGTTTAAAATGTCTTATGGTATAGAGGTTTATAAAGTACTACGTGAATTATATGGATTTTATGTTTAAAATGTCTTATGGTATAAAGGTTTATATATCAGTCCTTCCTGTTATATCTGTCCTTTCTGTCTTATCTGTTCTACATGTCCTATTTGTCATTTCCGTCTTAGCTGTCCTATCTGTCCTTTTTTTCTACCTGTCCTATCTGTCATATCTGACCCTATCTGTCCTATCTGTCTTATCTGTCATATCTGACCTATCTGTCATATCTGACCTATCTGTCCTATCTGTCATATCTGTCTTATCTGTAATATCTGTCCTATCTGTCATATCTGTCCTATCTGTCATATCTGTCCTATCTGTCCTATCTTTCATATCTGTCATATCTGACCTATCTTTCCTATCTGTCATATCTGTCCTATCTTTCATATCTGTCCTATCTGTCATATCTGTCCAATCTGTCATATCTGTTCTATCTGTCCTATCTGTCTTATCTGTCATATCTGACCTATCTGTCCTATCTATGGAATCTGTGTAGCTATAGGATACAGCTGAAAAGGAAACTGGTATCCCGGAACACATGCATTTTTCCCAGCTGGGCGCTCATCAACAACACTCAGCGGCATTCTGCGCTTTTATCCGCCATTGTTATTCGCTCTGTATCACACGGTTTCTATTGATAAACATAGAATAAATATTATTAATACTAACCAGTGATGAATGCATATTGGTGTAAACATTTAATAATAGACTTATAACAATTAAATTTGTGGGTTTTCTATTCTTCATGAGAACTATTAAAGAAACTAAACATTTTGTAAAAATAATGAAACTGGTAAATAAAGTTAAGTAACAATCTTTTTCATTTGCCAATGTTCTGAAAACTTGTCATTTACAAATCACAAAAATAAAGTATTAAACCCCTTTTTCTTAATTAGTACCATCATGATTTTTCACTAGGGCATGCTTGATTCACATAGCTGGGTATCCTTTTAACCTTATCGGAGCTAAATTGATGAATAATTACTTATTTTTCTAATATAATATTGAATCATATAATATTCTAATATAATATTGAATCATATAATATTCTAATATAATATTGAATCATATAATATTCTAATATAATATTGAATATTTATCTATATATTTCTAATATAATATTGGATAATTATCTATAAAAGTGACTTTTGGAATTTATTAAGCAGTGACAAAGAGCTTAATTACTCTAAGGTGTTTATATATAAATACTAATACAATGTCATTTAATGTATGATTTACAACTAAAAAGTTAAGAATCGAGCTGAAATTTGTTTAGGTCAAAACTGACATGGCAAGGGCAACGCCGCGGGTACACTATATAGTGTATATACAAGGTGAATCAAGAAATGTAAAGTACCATCGATTATTTTTAAAAGATTATCCTATATTAACTAGTAAACAATTTATCAGATGGGACACCCCCCTTGATACACTAGACAGATTGGCAGACGGAGGGTGGGGGGGGGCACATGTACGGATCCCCTCCTGGGGAGGGGTGTGTGCTGATAAGAGAGGAAGGGATAAGCTTTCCATTCAGGCAGTACCATCATTCATTCAAGCCTATAGATCTACCCAGCTTATTTAACACTATCTGATTATACAACCGGAAAAAAGAAAAATGCGGGAAGCTTGAACCAAATATAAAATTTTAAATCAACTTATTTTATTATTTGTTGAAAATTTGACAGATTTTTACAAACACATTCTCTTTTTTCTAGATAAAAATATACATTTTTCATTTTTTAAAAGTAACAAATTGCAAAAAAAACTGCAATAGTACACTATGTAGTATAATTGCAGGAAACAATCTTTATAAAAATCAAGGCCTTAAATTTTACCTCCCCCCCCCCAAGAAGGTCCAAGTGGGGAAATGTATGCTTGCCGTTTCGCACATCTTAAATTCCCCCCCTCTGGCCCCCGCCCTATGTGTCATTTAGAGCCTGGGACTTAATCCTGGTTGAGATATTACCTGAGTGGCCTTTTAGAATCTGAGAAGATAGTTCAGGTTGATCTTGGTAACGAGCAGACCTGAAAAGATACGTCTCGAGTAAAATGTTTTGGAGTCAGGGGTCCATATAATTCCCAAAAAAGCTGATTTTCTCAAAGATCCCAAAATAATTTTTTGCCCCCAAATAAAAAAAAATGCCCCCAATTAAAAAAAATGCTCCCAATTAAGATAAAATTTCAAATTCCACTAACATATTTGCACCCATTTGCCCCCAATTATTAAAAAAATGCCCCCAATTAAAAAAACATTTTAAAATTCCACTAACACATTTGCCCCCAATTTAAAACAAAATGCCCCAAATTTTTTTAGATTATCATTTAAAAAAATTTGCCCTTATTTCTTTCAATTTTGTCAATCCCAAATGGGATTGATAAAGGAATTATATGGCCCCCTGAATGGAGTAGGGACAACAGGATAATTGATAGAAATTGTTGTAGATTTTGAAACTTGTGTGGGGGTCTCTAGTGGTGTAATTATGCACTACAAAGAAAATGCGTCAAGTATACTAAGGAGCTTTCTCAAAACCAGTTTTCTAGTAAAATTTCGAAGATTTTCTCAAAATAATTGGTTCATTTGTAAAGGAACTATTTCATACTTATACTTACTAGGTTTTTAGGGCGCTGCGCGCCCATCCATCTTCTATTTAAATTGTGAACATGTTCTTTTTGTTCACGTACATTTAAAAACAAAGAAGAAAAAAAAAATTTGCGGATTTTCAAGAATTTAAATTTTTTTACAGAATTAAAAACCTTTAAAACACATTTATTTTTATTTTTATCATTCATAAACCTTTCCTGTGGTCACGTGATGCCCCACAAAAAATTTGGGCCCATTCGGTTCAGCCGTTTTGACGTTTATTGGATACAAGAAACAGACAAGCCAAATTTATTTATAGATTGTGAATTGAAAAAAAAAATGAAAATTACAACAAACTAATAATATTTTGAAATTTGAGTTTTTATATATGCTGGCCGTTTCCATGTTTAAATAATTATAACGAATCATAGGGCATATACAGAAATAAATCTAGGGGGGGGGGGGCAAACAAATTTTTTGCCAAGAAAATAATTCAGTTTCTGTTTTGAGAAAAAAGTACGAGTACAATTGTAATCTATGTAATAAAGCTCTTTGTTCATTTTGTTTTTATTCGATTTTTAAAATAATTCCGCGGGCAATGCCGGGCACTTGAGCTAGTTTGTAGCAAAACAAAAGGGCGTATACAGAATTTAAAATCTAGAGGGAGAATCTAGAGGGAGGGGGGGGGGGGGAATTTGAACTGTAAATTCAAAATATTTGGCTTCTAGACGATCAGGCATACTTTTTTTTGGATTATGTTATTCATTTTACGAAATTTTCTGTTATTGAAAATTAGATATAAAATAGAACCAGGGTGTCCGAAGGAAACATGACAGTTGGTAAATAGTTATGAACGTCGTCTTTCATATACTTTATTAGATATTAAAGGCTTTTTGCAGTTTATTTCGTTAAAGAAAATCTTTTTCTGAAACTTATTTTACTTTGAAACCAATTTTACTACAAAATGACTTGCATATAATATTTGTATTATTGTCTAATTGTTATCAAACAACTTAACAAATTATGGATGAAGACGTTACAAACTACATCAACAACTGTCGTGGGACACCCTGTACTTTAAAGGTACACATAAAGTCCAATCACCTTGCGATTGCTTACTTAAGTACTTATAATTGCTTACTTAAGTACTACTTTATCTCTCCTTCAAACAAAACTCTGTGAACTTAAAAGGAAAAATTAGGTTACAGCACTGCAATAATATGTATTTTTTATCCTGTCCTGTTCTTCAGTTTATGATTTGAAAAGTGTGATAGCTTTGAGTTCTAGGTGGGGTGGGAGCACTGCCCCCCTTGCCCCCCCCCCACTTTATATACCCTTGAGTCCTCCAAACTCAAGACTTCGTGGCTTGGCATTTAAAAATAATTGTTTTACTTCGCTATCCCTTTAATCATCAATTATGTCTAAAACACTTTCTAAGTAACAAAAATGCATTAGACACATTCTATAAGAACACTTCTTAAGGAACAAATGTGTCTCTGAGGCTCAATTCTAACTGAAAACTAGGCTTTATTGTGTTTAAGATGTCTAAGTCACTCTTCAGTTTAAGATTTTAAAAGTGTGATAGCTTTAAGTAAGAGGATTTAAAAATAAAGATGTTGTTTAAAAACTAAAAAACACGACTGTAGGATTTAAACTAGGCATTAAAGTCTCCAACACACTGTCAGAAACTAACCTTTAATAAATAAATAAATGTTTTCCAGTGAAGCATTTGACAAAATAAATATCATACAGTTGGACGCCTAGTCTGTTAGACTAAATTTAGGATTTTAATTAGGACCCGGAATGCACATGAACCACAGCAATTGGGCAGTGTACCCAGACCCATTTAACTTAACAAGTAGATTCTCAAGCTATTGGCAAAAATATGATTACTTTTTAACCACATAAAATACATATCTAAGAATGCTTTAATGTCGTCTTCCTATTCCACATTTATATTAGTCTCACTGTATTGATCTGACCCTGTCTAATTGACCTAACATGATGATATCAAAAACCTATAAAAGGCCAGATTCATCAAGACTAAGGATTGCTTTAGATAAATTAAAATTTTGAAAATAATATCGAAAGAAAACTTTTTAGAATATCTATCCTTAGTACTTATTATAAAATAGAGGAAATTATTTTATGATTAATTTACAGCACTGCCTTTTATATTTACGGCATAAAGATTAACACCTCTTTTTAAACTTAAACACACATTTTATAAAAGTAACCACACAACTTGATGAAGTCCTATAAATTTAAATTCATCCCCCCCCCCTTCTCTCCTCCATTTTAGGGTGGGGGTTTTCACCACCCATAGCCCCCCCCCTGGATTCTTCTTGAACCTAGAGCAAATATTGGTTTAGGATCAGTAGTTAGGATACACTGATACACCTTGCATAGATAATATAGATACACTGATATACCTTCCATAGATAATATAGATACACTGATACACCTTCCATAGATAATATAGATACACTGATACATCTTCCATAGATAATATAGATACACTGATACACCTTCCATAGATAATATAGATACACTGATACACCTTCCATAGATAATATAGCTAGGATACACTGCAGATACACCTTTCAAACAGCTAATTTAGTTAGGTAATTAGATGAGGCGTACAAATGTCCACTAGATGTGTTTCACACTTCTGTATGGTTTTAACTAGCAGTCGAAAAACATTAACGGTCTATTTACCTCTGAATTGTTTATTGACCAATTCTGTAGCTTAATCGAAATTTCTAAAAAACTAGGTTGCATGATTCTTTAGAATATGAATGTGAAGGCATCAGAGGGGGGTGTGGAGTATCTTTAACATTGCAAACTTGATCTCAATATCCAATGTGGGTACTCT